CGCACATAATGAAACCTCAGGCCAAGCAAAGTTGGGAATGTAATAGCTTCATAAACACGGCAACAAGCTGAATTTACACATATAACGACATCGAACACTTTCTTACGTTTATAATGTTCCCTACAGAACGGAACGCGGGCCTTAATCAAATCGCGCTCGGCTTCGCTGGAAAATCCAATCTAGCTCCGGGAATATCCATATTTCTTTTGAATCGTAGTGCGAATTCCACGTGGGAATCGCTATGGAGCCGATTCATTACATTCGGATCAGAGAGTGCCGCTGTTTTGGCCATTCTTATGATCTTTGATTCCCTCTGTGGCTTTAGCATACACCTACTTGGCGCATTCTGGAATTCTTTGACTAACTTGCTACTTTACCTAGCCAAGAAACCTGAAAGAGAAACAAACCCAGACAAGCTAAACAAGAAAGCCCCGCCGGCAATACAGCCCGAAGAGCGAACTACTATCTTTAAAATCGAACGTGACGATCAACTGACCCAGAAACCAAGCTACACACAGAGACAGATCTATCCAGTATTATCAGAATCAGAAATTCCACCATTAATCAACAAAACATAAAAATCAACAATAGCTATATGTCTGAAAACATGGATCACAGAGCCATAAGAAAATTACTCGAAGACTTAATAATAGAAAAAAAGAGACTAAGTGTATCAACACAAATGCAGGAAGAAACCACAATGGAATTCGGACACAGAATAAATACATATTTACAAAAATACATTGTCATGGGAAAGGCCGCGCAAATGTTCTTATACGAAGTTACAGAAGACGAAACTCAGAGAGAAAAATTAGCTATTTACATTTTTATTAAGGGCCTCAAACATGAAATCAGACGTTACATTTGCCCTTTTACTTTTTACGACAAATTACAAGACGCACGCTTATATGCCGTACAAATAGAAAAAAATCTAATAGACATCAATCGCATCAAAAGAAATTCGATCCGCCCCATATCAGAGTCTTTTCGAAAATAACAACACTGAACATTACACAAAAAAAACAACTATTTTGCATTATTTTCTTTTTTAGGATACTGACAAGTAACTGCAAGACATTGCAGTAGCCACCAGCTGCTAAACACCGAAAGACCTCACCTGTTATCAATTTCCTTCCGTATAATCCCACAAAAATGTACAAAAATAACACTAATGAACAATTCCCCCCCCCCCCCCCCCCCCCCAGCAAAATACCACATACTGAAAACACATTGCATAACAAATCAAATTTAATGGAAGCAGAAGTTACTTATTATGTAAATAGTAACTTCTTACCTACTTGCACAAATTGTCATTACACCCTACCCATACAACAACAATTATCATATAACCTTGTCTATGTCAAAATCATCGGCCCTCACAAACCACCATACGCCATACGATGCATTAAATGCACAGACTGCATACATCATGTCGTTCTACACTATCTCAACCTCGAGCTACCTATAGACTCAATTCCTAAAACACCCCGCATTAACAGCATTTTACCTTTCCGAACAAAAAATCCGCTCATTAAAACAATTTCATGAACTCTACTCTAACTGCTTACACATAGCCATGAAATATATAGCAGAGATAAGAGATATCTTTGAGAAATGCACTTACCAAAACACCCCTACACAAACACATTACACCGCTAGTCATCATCGCGACATCCAAGATAAAAATACAATGCTCGGTGAACTACTCAAACCCAGTACTAATTACCCTTCTGACACCCCCCCACGAGTAGCACCGCTCCTACTCCGTAGAAATTATAACACCTCCCCAACCACACTAATAAACATTTTTGAGCAAATAGACAATTGGGAGTAGATTGAGCTTTTTAACAAAATCGCTGTCAACACTAGACAAATAGTTTAAAAGAAAATAAAAAAAAACAACTCTTCCAGCTAACACCAGTAAAATCAAGATAAATTTTAAATAATGAAGATTTAGTTTCCTTCCAAATATTGTTGAAATTCTTTACTAAACTATTCATATTTTGTTTGTTATTGAACGTTATGTATAATTTTTTGGTCTCATGATCAATGTATACAGAAGAACAAATACTATTATTATAAAAGCATAACAACCTGGCAAGTGAATTGGAGAGCTTCTCTCTTGAGGAAAGTTTTTTACAAATTGCTCTTCTTCCAGCCATGTATGAGGCTAACTGTTTCTCTTGTAATATTTCTAAAAGATTGATTTTTGAATTCACAAGTCTGGTGTAGTCTTCTTCTAACAACATTATGCTGAGGCTGACAACATTATGTATTCTGAAGTGCTGATGAGGTAATTACAAGAACGGCCTCTTTTGGATTCCCTATCAGCTTCTCCAGTCAAAGCACAGAATACATAAAAAGCTCTTTCAATTTAATTATTGTTTTATAAGAGACATTTCTTGGCTCAACAATAATTGAAGGGTGCCACATAATAAAAAATAGAAATAAATAGAAATTTCAAAATGTCTTCAACTAACTCATTAGTCTTCGCACTAACATTACTCAAACAAAGAAAGCATGGTAGATCATAGTTAAAACAATTTTTCTTTGCATTCAATTCAACAAGACCTTGATTTTTTAGATCTCACAAAGATTGAATTTCAAATGACATTTCGTATTCTGAGGCTTTTTATAGTTTGGCGATTTTATGATTACTTGAGATTACTGTATTAAGATAGCTAAAAAGGAAGGTTAGTAGTGAAAATTTACTTTATTTTACTATAAATCTTCTTAAGAGTTATTCTGGCTTTGGAATCTTGCACCACTTGAAACTATACACCAACCAATTTCTTAAAGTTATTTCACAACATTGCAAAAATGTACTAATGAGATAAAATGATGCCGAGAAAATCAAACTTGCAAATGTCCGTTACGTCCAGAAAGAGAGAGAGAGTTGCCGCCGCTTCAGAGATGGCGCGCAAGTAAGGCGGAAATGCCATTCGTAATTCGCTTCCCGCCATGTGTTTAAACTTTATAGATCGCAAATCAACATCTAGACCCGACGGGAAACGTTTGTCAGGCGGCTTGAAAAGCGTCCTATGTCCTGTGGTATGATAGGAGAAGCTGATGGGGAATCCAAAAGAGGCCGTTCTTGTAATTGCCTAATCAGCACTTCAGTCAGTCTCAGAATGCAGCATTTCATCTACACAGGTTAATGAAATTAGTTAAATTACTTTGCATTGTGCTCTGGGCAACAGGAAAGCTGCTGCTGAACGACAGTCAATCTCAGGCTTTTTGCAGGATAACTGAGCTGGGCCTATTTTTCGATTAATCAAAAATCTTTACATGAAACCGGCAATGGGGCTCCTCTTATTTGTCTCATGAGAAAAACACTTCGAGTATTTCAATATTCCAGCTTTCCCGTACGAAGATTGACCTGAGCTGCGTTCTGAATGATTCAGAGTCCGAATGAAAGTGATGTCCGAGGCCCCCAGTTCTGCGTTTCCTAAGTAAGATCTTTTGACCGACTTCAAAAAGGAAGAGGTTCTATATTCGACCTGATTATTTTATGTATGTTCGCGCATATCGCCGCAACGATTCAACTGATTTCAATGGGGTTGGTCACATTTGGAAGAGTATGTTTGCAGGTGAGTTTCATTTCAATATCAACTCGATTAAATTATAACGTTATCAGTAATTGCAAAAAATAAATTAAAAATCGTTTTTTTTGTAAATATTACTTGTTAGATTCTATTTTAATTGTTATTTGTATCACCAGAAAAATGAAAGGTTCCTCAAGTATTTATTTTACCCCTTACTCCCAGAATCATTTATTCCCGAAAATAATAATCAAAGTACGCACATTATATAGGCACATTGTGAAGCTTCAGCCGTAAGGATAGCTGCTGGCGTACGACAGTCAATCTCAGGCTTTTCGCGGGATAACTAAGTTGGGCCTATTTTCTGATTAATCAGAACGCTGCAGAGATGCAAAAGTCGAGACCCTTCTCATTTATCTCTTAAGCAAAGTCTTTTGAGCTTTTTAATCCCCATGATACCTACAATAACTTCTTGGGAACACACACTTTGACTGGTAGCAGCCACAGTCGCAGTTGAATAACGTGCATTATAAAATCACACCATTAAAGCGCGACCTTGTTGTACGCTTGCAAAAGTTCACATCAGGCGTTTGATGCGATAACCGACAAAGACGCACCTATATTTTGACTCATGAAGTTTCTATGCGTAAACGGCAGCCGAGGCCTCCTTTGCTTCCCTCATCAGACTTTCTTTTGCAGCAGCTTCAGAGATGAAGTACAAACGCGCACATTATGAAACCAGATGATAAAGTCTCTTCCTACTCGCGTACGACAGTTCCTAATAAGCTTTTGACGCATTCGACGACGTGAAGTCACTCGCCTTTCTATTAGTCGAAAGTTCACTTCCCTCGTCAGACAAACCACTCAGAGCTTATACTTCCCATCATTTTGAGAATGGTTTATCGCGAACTCAGACTTTCCTAATATTATTCTAAAAGATAACACTCATTGCATGACTACTGTATGAAGTCTTTTGTAAATATGACTAGTTAGATTCTATTTTAACTGTTATTTGTATCAAGAGAAATATTGACGAATGAAGGCTTCTAATAGTGATACAAGGAATGCAGGCCATTAGAAAGAAAGGACAGGTTTGTAAGAAATAAAATAAAAATAAATATAAAGAATATAATTTCTCATATTTTTATAACCGAGCGAATAAATTATAAATAAAAATTATTTAAATGAAGGCATAATTAATTAAAAATAATGCGATTAAGTGATAATAAACATTAATAAGTTTATGAAAAATGGTACGGAGATAATGAAAACGTATAAAGATATGAAAATAGATTGGTTGTCATAATTAAAAGAATGAGTGTAAATTTAAAAAGATTGTGAGTTATGCTGTGAAAGATCAATTTCAAGAAGTGCAAACAATGAAGAGAAAAAAATCTAAACTCAGAACCAAATTAATTTTTGATAAATTTTTATTAAATCTTATATGGATAATTCTATGAAAAGTGTCGAAAATGTTACATTCAAGGTATTATATAGATAATATAAACTCAAATTTATTAAGAACGGCTTCTTATCTTAACTTTGAAGCCACTTATAACTATTTCTGCTTTATTTTTATAAAAAATGTCTTAATTACATATCATCAACATATTTCTCAAAGTTTTATTTATCTTTCTTTATTTTACCTCATCTTTCTTATTAAGAGTCCGAAAGGACGTAAAAAAATAATTATTGCATGAATAATTATCATTTATGGAGTACTGACGTTATCGATAGCGGAAAAGTTGCTGCCGACAAGTAGGTCGTTATGCATTGCAAGCGTAGGGTGCTGATGTGTTTTTTCTGCCTACAGTTTCAAATTTTGGGGCATTTAGAATTGGGAAACTTTCAGATAGAAATTTATTCGACTTACTTTTTCGAATGTTTTTATCAATAGATAAAAAATCTGATTTTAAACACATTAATTCCTTATGCTTGCAATGTATAATAACCAACTTGTCCGCGACAATGTTTGCATGTGATGGCCAATCCCAATAATAGTCACACAATTTACTACAAGAAAAAATAAAACATATTTTTATTACACTGGTTCTTTTCCTGCGCCCTTTATTAAAACTTTTTTGCAATTACAAAAATACTATAAAACAGATTTAACGTGCGACTAAAAGAAGTACGAAACAACTAAATGCAATTTAAGGGAGAAAAAGAGAAACAACAAGGGCAGTGCCTTTATAATTTTAAATAGCAAAAAAAGATCTCGATAAGTAATTTTTTCCTACGACTACATGACCCCCAAGGGAATGGAAAATCTATTTTCTGAGCTGCAGCAATGAAGGTTTCGTTTTCTTCGTAATCCTTATTGTTTTATTCTGTTTTTGCTTTTTCAGGACAATTTCCTCCTCTTTTTCTTCTTCCTCTTCTTCCTCTTCTTCTCCCTCTTCTTCCTCTTCTTCTCCCTCTTCTTCCTCTTCTTTCCCTTCTTCCTCTTCTTCTCGCTCTTTTTTCTCTTCTTCCTCTTCTTCCTCTTCTTCCTCTTCTTCCCCTTCTTCCTCTTCTTCTCCCTCTTCTTCCACTTCTTCCTCTTTTTCCTCTTCTTCGTCTTCTTCCTCTTCTTTCCCTTCTTCCTTTTCTTCCCCTTCCTCTTCCTCTTATTCTTCCACTTCTTCTTCCACTTCTTTATTGTAATTTTTGACTGCTTTGATTTTTCGCATGGTACGCTTTGATCTTTTAGGTAAAACATTTAATCTGAAATGAAAAAGTAAAAATTATTGGTTCTTATTTCTATTGATAATTATTACTAGACGATAAAAATTCTTACTGTAGAAAAGGAGTTATGAAATCAGATGTGACTTTTATATATTCTTTTATTTGTTTCAATAATATAGGATTTATTTTCTCTGATTGCGATTCAATTGACTCCAATAACTTATTATGCTTTTCCTTCCAGTTAAATAAGACATTGTTATGTAAAACAGGTACTTTATGGACTTGTATTACTTCTTCTTTCTGTTTAGTGGTGATTTCATAGTTGTATGCATCCTTGAATAATAAAGATTTCTCAGTTGCAACTGTAAGATTTTATATCATTTTAATAATTATATATCTGTAGCATCCTGAATAACAGTATAACCGGAATTTATCACAGCTAAACCAATCTCTAAAAGAGGAAGTGGTATTCTTTGCAACATAATTAAAACTTACATAAATGTTCAAGATTCCCTCGAACATATGTCTGACTTTCAAATGGCTTTCCTTGAACAATTATACTTAATAAGTTTATGATAGGTATTCTACCACTGTTTCTTAAACTGGTGTTCAAATCTATATAAAATTTTGGATTAGAATTTGATTGAATTCCTAATTTCAAATATTGTGAGCTAATAGTTTTATCTAGTGAGTTATCTAACAATGATTTTATAATCTCTTTAATCCCTTCATGATGTGCATGATTTTTGTTGGTGTGAATTTTTTTCCAAGCCTGGAATATCTTTTTCCATAATTCCAATATTTTTGATAAATACGGTGAATTGAAAGTTGACAACTTCTTTTCAATATTTAAAGAAGTTTTATCATTCACTAAAACAAAATTAAAATAAATAGTATAATATGATAAACTATCTTTCCAGATTTGGGAATAGATGGAAAGAGAGAGAATTATAGATCATGAAGAAGTTGACCACGATGGGTGAATGAGCAAAAAGAAAAGACTAGAGAAAAAAAATGCTGAAAGGCATAGAAAAGATGTTGAAGGTCTTTGAGGAGGTAAGAACTCCTGTAAACATCGTACTGTAGAACAAAAGAATTCAAATAGAGGTTGAGAACAGTTTTTACAAAATAGAGAAAAGGATTTCAAGAAAATGTGTATAGTTAAAAAGAAATGGTACAAAGTAAGACATTTACATTTGCACACGCAAACACTATTGAAAGTTTTGAAAAATAAAATTTAAAAAGTAATAATTGTAACTGCATGGTTCAATTCAGAAAAATACAATATTAATATACGAATAGTAGTCTACTAACATGTTTAAGGTAACAACGAAATTGGCAGACTAGATAATGGATAAGAAATAGTTTTGAAAGTCATTCGTGAAAATCTATTTTACATGGCCTTTTAGGACTTTTCAGCTCTTAGTCCATATCAGTCATATATGACTTGTACCACCCTCAACGTGTTCATATGAAGGAAGTGAAGGAAAAGAGGGTATTTAAAAAGAAAAAAAGAAAGAAAGGATTATACTTAAGCTACAAAAGAATAAAATAATGATTAGTTAGGATAGAATGTTCACAGGATATAAAAAACAAGAACAATCATGAATGGTGGATGGTAATTTTGATATAAGTACTACTGGATAGAGGTAACAAAAAGCTGTGGGCAAGAGATTAATGGAGAATAAGATAACATGTCACATTTGTTTCAGTTATTTTAACAAAGCATGCAAACATGCTTAAAGTAAAAAGAAATCAGTGAACAATGAAATTTAAGTTTGCGGCAGCAAGTTTCAATAGAGTACAATCTTAAGTGTATATACTTACAAGATTGTAATTGAATAATCTGTTTCTGATACAGTGATGAATTTTGTTTAATGCACAATGCAGATAAATTAAGTGAATCATTTTTAGGATTGGATAAATAATTATTGGTGTACTGCATGCACTGTTTCAATAGACTGACATTGTACGTTATTGTGTTGCCCTGTTCTTTTATAACTTCATCTCCATTGAAGTATAACCAGTGAACTAATCTTTGCCATCTTTCATTCTGATAGTAAAATAAGCTATATTTTGACATCTTGAGTTGAAATACTGAAATAAGTTAATAAAAAAATAGATGCATAGTTGAATTAAATGAAAGCTGCAAAAAAAAAAATAATGAGATCTTAAAAATAATTTATATTATACTATGCTCATCACCAAAGTAAAATTTCTGCCTGCAAATCTGTATAAATTTATAAAATAAAAAAACAAAAGTATTATAGATACACTGATGAACATTATTTAGCATAACCTATAAGCAATAACAAACCAAATATAGATTAAATCACATTTTGCATTTATAATTACTTGAACTTATGTTCTTACTTTACCTATTAACAATAATTTTTTGGCACATCAATAAAACAAAATTTTAACTAAACGATGAGGTACAAAAACTGTTGCAGAGGCTGCACTTTGCGCACTAGCGTATTGTGTCGTGAAGTATATAATATAGTATATTAAGGTTTTATTAGACAACATACAAGCACATATAACACTATTAAGTTAATACAGTGGCGCCGATAAGCGCAAAGTACACAAGTAAAGTGTGGAAGTTATATACATACCTATAGATATATAAATTTTACAAATATACTTGGAGCCAGATTATAAAAGATTAAGTTTATAATTATATATGTAACCTATACTCTAACATAACTTAGTAGATTAATTTTTAATGGATAATAAATGATTATTGCGTCATGAAATGGTGGTTAGGTTACCCGGTACTCAATTTATTTTTATTATCCACGTCTGTGCACGCAATAGAAGAAAATGAGACTTCTCGCGAAAACGGACTATTTCCTCGAAGCTGCCAGCTGCAGTGCGCGCGTAATAAAAGCATATCATGAAAGCTCGACCTTGCTACTCATGTACGATAATTCACTTCGGACTTATCATGAGATCGCTGAGATGAGCCTATGCTTTCTGTCACTATTAAATTTATTTATCTGTCATTTTTTTTAATTTATTTTACTAGAAGTCATCTTATATCGCGAGATCGTCAAGTCAGGCCTAATCAAGTTTTTGCATATAAGTGACAGCGGAGCCCCTCAATAAATATTAAGGAATTAATGCTCACTGTATCAATAAACACTCAATAAACGACTAGATAAAAACATAAATAAAAAATAACGCGCTTCATCTCACTAATACATTATCTACTTGTATACTCTATAATGCACATCTATGCGCGATGTTCTTCACTCTGGCCTGCTGGATTTATGTATGTATGACCACTGACTTGGCGCGAAACTGCAATCTGTTTAATTTAATAGTTTTTATACTACCCGCGAGCTTTCAAGCATCGCTTAATAGGCATCGTTATACACTAGAATTGATTCAGTTGACAGGTGGGATATATTTTTAGTATCAGAACAACAAAAATTATGGTCTAGTACAGCGAAAAGCTGGAGTTAACATCGGTGATAGCCACTTGGCTACTTAGCCGATTTAGCCGCTTGTAAGAAATATGCTAATATTCGTTCTTAGTTTCTTTATAATACTAAATCACAGAAAAGTTTCATAACTGAATCGTGTAGAAATCAATGCTAGTGTATTAGCTCCAATAGTTACCGAGTTCTAAATATAACTTCACATGCAAACTTAATTTTAGTGGCTACCTATGCAATGATTTCAAAATCATGCAAATTTTGAACTGTTCTTGACTGAGTTCTTAATTGATGGGCTTTTCGATTTCTCAAAAAAAAATTAGACTATAAAATATCGAGCTCATTTTGTTTCGCTGGTGGCCACCACCATATTACAGTGGAAGTACGGACAGTATGAAAGCACATAATAAAGGATCGTTTACAGTTCACCTCCGGTTTACTGAGTCTTATCCAGGCCTTCAATAGTTTGCTTCCTAAAAAAGTTGCCTCAAGTCTATTTCAAAGGTTGGCGCAGGTTGGATCAAAGTTCATCGAGCGTTTAATTTTTTCAAAATCAGCATATTGTTTATAGGCAAATCTCAATAATTCTAACTGAGCTTTGTAAACCTGTAATATTAACAAGTTTGTAGTGTCAACATTTCAAAGTGAAATAAATATCAATATTCAGAAAAGATATATCGTGCTGAAGTTAAACAAAAACATTGAAATGGTTTTCTTTTGATAATTATTATCATTTTCTTAAATATTTCAATCATATTTAATTTACAATTGTTAAATAATAATGATATTATCTGACAAATAGTTTTTATTTGAATGATATTCTCCCAATTTGCGAATTTACATATTAGGCTCAGTGCCTAGATCACAATGCAAAGTGATTTGACTAGGTCGAAGTTCAAAATAGGCATTCATTTTTATTGATTGAGCATCATTAGCGCTAATATTGGAGTTTTCTTTTCATCTTGTGAGCTGTGGTGTTCCATAGCACATGAAAACGCCAATTTAACTTTTATCGTTTTGCTTACTCGACGAAATTCGATGTTAATTTTGAACTTCGCGGGTCGCGAATCAATGTCCGGGCAGTGTACATTACCTAGTGTACATAGTACAATTATTTCCCGTTTCTTCATCTCTGAAGCAGTGGCAACTCTCTCTCTCTTTCTCTCTCTTTTTCTCTCTCTTTTTCTCTCTCTTTTTCTCTCTCTTTTTCTCTCTCTTTCTCTCTCTTTCTCTCTCTTTCTCTCTCTTTCTCTCTCTTTCTCTCTTCCTCTCTTTCTCTCTTCCTCTCTTTCTCTCTGGATGTAACGGACAATTGCAAGTTTGATTTTTTCGGCATCATTTTATCTCATATATTAGTTAATTTTTGTAATATTGTTAAATAACTTTAACAAATTGGTGGGTGCACTATAGTTTAAGCAGAACTCCAAAGCCACAATAACTCAAAAGAACTTGGAGAAACCTAATAGTTTGTAATATTGGATTGTATCTGCAGCATACACAATTAGATATTCATTTTTTCTTTACTTTAAATTAGAGGAAAAATAAGCTACTTGCGTTGTTTTACATTTTTTAAGGATTGTTTAAATTTAATATAATTTCAAAATAATATACAAAAATGTAAGACCAGAATCTTAAGTAATCATAAAATCGCCAAATTACAAAAAGCCCTGAATACGAAATGTCATTTGAAATTCAATCTTTGTGAGATCTAAAAAATCAAGGTTTTGTTGAATAGAATCCAAAGAGAAATTGTTCTATGATTTGTTATGCTTTCTTTGTTTGAGCAATGTTAGTGCAAAGACTGATGAGTAAGTTACAGACTTTCTGAAATTTCTATTTATTTCTATTTTTTTATTACGTGGCACCCTTCAATTATTGTTGTGCCAAGAAATGTCTCTTCTAAAACAATAATTAAATTGAAAGAGCTTTTTATGTATTCTGTGGTTTGACTGGAGAAGCTGATAGGGAATCCAAAAGAGGCCGTTCTTGTAATTACCTAATCAGCACTTCAGAATACATAATGTTGTCAGCTTCAGAATACATAATGTGGTTAGAAGAGCTCCAGAGTTTTGTCCTTCTAGCTTTTTGCCTCAATGTATTTTTTTGTATATTAGTATTGTGCCAGATATATTATTATGAAGTGAAATGTTTACAACAATGCAACATTTCTATGTTAATAGATAATTCTTTAATTATTTAATTGTTATAAATTTGATATTGTGTCTTGCCATAATAACCTATTAATAAATATTGGTACTTTTTCAATAAATGAATAACTATTTATCTTTCAGCTCTAATTGTTCTTTTCACATCAATGAACAATGATGAAAATTCCAATCCAATTAAAATATATTGCTGATATTCAATCTATAATAGTCAATGTTCAACGACTTATAAGATTGGAGAATTCTGCAACACTACAGGACATTGTACTTTCATACATAGAATTTCTGTGTCAATGTTTGCCACTGGAGAGGTAAGGACATTTTTAAAACCTTATTTATTCAACTTCATAAATGGGTGTGCATCCTTTGTAAAATGTTTCACTTGATAAAGTTTAACATTTTTAAAAGCACTAATACAACTAGTATTTTTGCTTTTTTTACATTTCTTTCTTGATAAAATCAGTAATATAGTTAGAGTTAAGAAAAATAATTTATTTGACTTAAAAGATTAACGAGGATAGTAACAATAATAGAAAGCAAAAAAATAACATTTAATGAAGTTATAATGATGCAATAGATGATCAAACCAATGAAGTACACGAGTACAAAATAAACCTTTAAGTTCTTAAAACATCATGATATAGCTAATCTTTATTCTATTTCTTTTTTCAATCATATAGCTGTGACTACATGGCATAATCGCTTAAGTTAATTTTTGATAGAATTGAGTTACCATCGAAAAATAGACTTAAGCAGTTATGCCTCGTAACTATAGATATCATTTCCAGGATTTTTCATTATTTTTTTATTCAATTTTTCTTTCTTGATAAAGTAAGTAATGTAGCTTAAATTAACAAAACTAATTTACTATACGTTAATTTTACATATTGAATGACTAAAAGTGAAGAAATTAAAAGAGAAAGAAATTTATTGAAAAAAGAAAAGGAAATACTAATAAGCCCAGAATCAATAGTGCCAACAAATTCTCAACTAGAGAATGATGTTCCGGTTTCTGAAATCGCTGGGGTAGCTATAACAGAGGATAAAGAAGATAATCCAGATTTTCAAGTATCTTGTCTTATAAAAGTAAATGTAGATTTTTTAATTTCATAAAGCAGCAAAAAAGTTTATAATTCGGTAGTATAGCAATATTTAAAAAAATTTTCACTTAATTTAATTAGGAAATCGAATTACAATTATTCACACAATTCAATGATTTTAAGATGTATAGTATTGTATCAATATGTTGAAAGTATATAAAGTAGATAAAAGTGCACACAAGAACGCGTTCTCGCTGAACATTTCTGAAGAGGAGTATAAGTTGTCACAATGTCAATTGGTAATCTCACTACTATAATATATATGCCACTTTATACAAATCTCTTTAAGAGCCTTCAACCCTTTTATAAATACATAAAAATCGATGAATAAACTTTGGCCCCTGGTTTAGCCTTGAATATACATCATAATATCGAATAAAAAAATTAATCAAAAGATGATATTGTTAAAAGAACTGCAAATCAATGCAAGTTCTTTTAATTGATTTAAAAAAAATGTTTGAATAATGAACAGGGCTGAAAGCACAATTACATTTGATTGTATATCTATGAAAAGGTTGAACAGCACTTCATTTTTTCAATTTGTATTAATTAGTGTTCGTATTGAAATATTATATTTTAATGAATATAAATTTTATAGTTATAATAAAATTATCTATTGCAGACGATGGGGACAATAACAAATTTAAGCGAACATTTTTTATCAAATGATAATTACATTTGTAAAAGTGGCACGGATATCATGGACTGTTATATTTTATACCTTCATATTTTTATAAATGGTAATATTTACAATCTCACTTCGAGGATACTAAGAAAATTGAGAAAGGTATTATTATGCTCTAAATCTGAACTCCCAAAGTTTTATCAAGAAATAATAGATTTATTCTACTATAAAGTATTGATCTTTACTTCTGAATGGTCACTACGAAATGGAGACGAAGAAGAATTCTTTTCAAGCAGTACAGTTTTATGGGAAAATTATAATTCTATAGAAGATGAAGAAGATAAGAAAATGTATAATATATACGAATTGTATAACTGCATGATTTGTAAGAATTATCATTTATTATTAACAGAGATACAAAATTATATATTTGATGAACATTATCAAATCAATCATTATTTTTCAGATAACAAACGCTGGTGTCCAAGTAAAAACGTATTGAATAATGAGTATGTTTTTTAAAGTTTACTTAGTTAAATCCGCTGAGAGTTCGCGAAATATCAGTATAGAGAAGAAAATGGGATTAGTGCAATTAATTGACAAGGGTACTTCAAATTCTATTATATTTAACAATTTATTTTAAATATGATGATTGGACAACACTGACGCTCGTCAAGGGCGTAAAAAACCCTAGTCGTAAGTAGGGAAAAAGCCCAAGGCGAACGTTAATACAATATATATATGAACAAACTTTAATATAATTAATCGCGAACCTCGATACAAATACCCACAGCGTAACACATTTACACACACATTGACGAAACGCAGAGAGCTCTCGGATGACATGCGCAGATACAATGAGGCCGCAGCGAATGTGGAAGAGCGCACCACTATGGTGACCACCTAAGGCGACCTCGACGACTCGAGGACGGGGACAGCCCTCGCCGCCACGTGGAAATTTGGGCACAACGGCCGCGTGGAGGTAACGCTCTCGGGGACGCGCTAGGGCGTGACCCACTACAGCCGCGTAGGAATGAGTCCAACGCTTCACGGGCTTGCACTACACACTCGTTTTACACTCACACGCAGTATTAACGCACTGCTCCTGATCAAAAGGAACGTAGCTGTGTTGAAACAAAAGAAGAGACTGAGTCAACACTTCACCAAGCAGGATTGCGAAGCGACTCTCTCGCTGTCTATCGACAGACTAACTCGCTGTGCCCTGTCAGAAAACGATGACGAGTTCTCTCCTTTGTCGCAAAGAAAATTAAGGGAAAGTTTCGGGTGTTTGGGTCAGTCGTGCCGCGCCAGATGTTATCAGCTTGCCATCGCAGAGTGTTGCATCTGCTCGACACGTGTGTGTATCACACTGACAATATGTGCCACACCTGTACCCCTTTTGCCAAGGTTGTCTCGCGATTTCAGAGATTAGTGCTCGTCGACTACATAGCACTTTCTCCTTTACTAAATACTAATACAATATGTTAAAAGAGAAACGCTGCATCTCTGAACAGAGTACGACGATACAGTAAGAGCAATTGTAATAGCTCATGAATGTCACCACTACGTCAAATTATTCAAGATCTACAAACAAACAAATTGTGAATTATTGAAGTATCTTATGTCATTTTTCATGGTAATGTGGGTAGAAAATTTCATTGTACGAGTTAAAAAATGTTACAGTAAGCAGGAAAATAGATACGATATTTATATGCGCGGCCTAATCTATCTCGAGGAAAAGAAACGTCAGTTCCTTATTTCAAAGCATAATCTTTTACTAAATGAGGTGCAGTATAGGATATCAAAGTATCAATATAACTCAGATAATAATTGAATTTTGAAAATTCTGCGTTTTTTCTCATATCTCCAGTTTATAGGAGATTATATAATGTAATTTTGCATGATTTGAATTAGTAATTCCTCTCGTTGGGTTATAACTTCTAAACAAACAAAACCGTCCTCTAATAAATGATAAAAATTATACTTTTCATCCTACAAGTAATAATTTAATTTGGTTTTTCTATTTCGATCCTACATCGTTTCTGCGTAGGCACTTTTGATCTACCACATCATACGTGAATCTCTTGCCAAATGCGTCAGAGGCGTATCATGTATTCTATGGTAACGAGGTAGAGGGTTTATCGTCCTCCCTTAAAATGTACGCTCTTCAATTCCGAATCATTTGCCGCTGACAACAAAAATTCAATTTCGCAGTAAGTACGCGAGCATCGTGGTATAGCAAGCCTCATCCTCCCTTATAATGTGCGCTTTTCGGTTGCGAAAATAAGGACAACGCCAGCCAAAATTCCATTACCCGAAGGTACAAACCTGAGCAGTAAAATGGTGAGTGCACAGCGTACAGCGGACGAGAGGAGTGTTCGGTAGTACGGGAATAACGAGGTACAGCGATCCTCATGATCCCTTATTATGAAGATTCGGAAATGAAAAGCGCACATTATATGGGAGGATGAAGCACGCTTTACCTCGATACTCCAGTATGACAGTTGCGAACACTCCTCTCATCCGTTGTACGCTATTCACTCACTTACCATTGGACTGCTCACGTTTTTCTACCTTCGGCCCGCGACATATGCGTCGGCATGTTTCCCCATGAGATATACTTAATTCCTTCGACTACCCATCATTGCCAAAGTAGTTTCCCGAGAAATGAAACTTTGACTGGCGGCGACCAAAGATTCGGAAATGAAAAGCGCACATTGTAAGGGATCATGAGGCTCGCTGTACCTCGTTACTCGCATACTATAGTGGCGAACACTCCTCTCGTCCGTTGGACGCTGTGCACTCACTTACCATTTGACTGCTCACGTGTTTCTACCATCAGTACGGGATCTATGCTACGGTATGTTTCCCAATCAGAGACGCTTAGCACTTTTGACTACCCATCATTGCCAAAGTAGTTTCCCGAGAAATGAAACTTTGACTGACGGCGACCTCAGATTCGGAAATGAAAAGCGCACATTATATGGGAGGATGAGGCACGCTTTACCTCGATACTCCAGTACGACAGTTGCGAACACTTCTCTCATCCGTTGTACGCTATTCACTCACTTACCATTTGACTGCTCACGTGTTTCTACCTTCGGCTCGCGACCTATGCTTCGATATGTTTCCCAATCAGAGACGCTTAGCACTTTTGACTACCCATCATTACCAAATTAGTTTCCCGAGAAATGAAACTTTGACTGACGGCGACCTCAGATTCGGAAATGAAAAGCGCGCATTATATGGGAGGATGAGACACGCTTTACCTCGACACTCCAGTACGAGGGTTGCGAACACTCCTCTCATCCCTTGGACGCTGTGCACTCACTTACCATTTGACTGCTCACGTGTTTCTACCATCAGTACGGGATCTATGCTACGGTATGTTTCCCAATCAGAGACGCTTAGCACTTTAAACTACCCATCATTACCAAATTAGTTTCCCGAGAAATGAAACTTTGACTGACGGCGACCTCAGATTCGGAAATGAAAAGCGCGCATTATATGGGAGGATGAGACACGCTTTACCTCGACACTCCAGTACGAGGGTTGCGAACACTCCTCTCATCCGTTGTACGCTATTCACTCACTTACCATTTGACTGCTCACGTGTTTCTACCTTCGGCTCGCGACCTATGCTTCGGTATGTTTCCCAATCAGAGACGCTTAGCACTTTTGACTACCCATCATTGCCAAAGTAGTTTCCCGAGAAATGAAACTTTGACTGACGGCGACCTCAGATTCGGAAATGAAAAGCGCACATTATATGGGAGGATGAGGCACGCTTTACCTCGATACTCCAGTACGACAGTTGCGAACACTTCTCTCGTCCGTTGTACGCTATTCACTCACTTACCATTTGACTGCTCACGTGTTTCTACCTTCGGCTCGCGACCTATGCTTCGGTATGTTTCCCAATCAGAGACGCTTAGCACTTTTGACTACCCATCATTACCAAATTAGTTTCCCGAGAAATGAAACTTTGACTGACGGCGACCTCAGATTCGGAAATGAAAAGCGCGCATTATATGGGAGGATGAGACACGCTTTACCTCGACACTCCAGTACGAGGGTTGCGAACACTCCTCTCATCCCTTGGACGCTGTGCACTCACTTACCATTTGACTGCTCACGTGTTTCTACCATCAGCCCGAGACCTATGCGTCGGTATGTTTCCCCATGAGATATACTTACTTCCTTCGACTACCCATCATTGCCAAATTAGTTTCCCGAGAAATGAAACTTTGACTGACGGCGACCTCAGATTCGGAAATGAAAAGCGCACATTGTAAGGGATCGTGAGGCTCGCTATACCTCGTTACTCGCGTACTATAGTGGCGAACACTCCTCTCGTCCGTTGGACGCTGTGCACTCACTTACCATTTGACTGCTCACGTGTTTCTACCATCAGCCCGGGACCTATGCTACGGTATGTTTCCCCATCAGAGACGCTTAGCACTTTTGACTACCCATCATTACCAAATTAGTTTCCCGAGAAATGAAACTTTGACTGACGGCGACCTCAGATTCGGAAATGAAAAGCGCGCATTATATGGGAGGATGAGACACGCTTTACCTCGACACTCCAGTACGAGGGTTGCGAACACTCCTCTCATCCCTTGGACGCTGTGCACTCACTTACCATTTGACTGCTCACGTGTTTCTACCATCAGTACGGGATCTATGCTACGGTATGTTTCCCAATCAGAGACGCTTAGCACTTTAAACTACCCATCATTACCAAATTAGTTTCCCGAGAAATGAAACTTTGACTGACGGCGACCTCAGATTCGGAAATGAAAAGCGCGCATTATATGGGAGGATGAGACACGCTTTACCTCGACACTCCAGTACGAGGGTTGCGAACACTCCTCTCATCCGTTGTACGCTATTCACTCACTTACCATTTTACTGCTCACGTGTTTCTACCTTCGGCTCGCGACCTATGCTTCGGTATGTTTCCCAATCAGAGACGCTTAGCACTTTTGACTACCCATCATTGCCAAAGTAGTTTCCCGAGAAATGAAACTTTGACTAACGGCGACCTCAGATTCGGAAATGAAAAGCGCACATTATATGGGAGGATGAGGCACGCTTTACCTCGATACTCCAGTACGACAGTTGCGAACACTTCTCTCATCCGTTGTACGCTATTCACTCACTTACCATTTGACTGCTCACGTGTTTCTACCTTCGGCTCGCGACCTATGCTTCGGTATGTTTCCCAATCAGAGACCTTTAGCACTTTTGACTACCCATCATTGCCAAAGTAGTTTCCCGAGAAATGAAACTTTGACTGACGGCGACCTCAGATTCTGAAATGAAAAGCGCACAATATATGGGAGGATGAGACACGCTTTACCTCGATACTCCAGTACGACAGTTGCGGACACTCCTCTCATCCGTTGTACGCTATTCACTCACTTACCATTTAACTGCTCACGTGTTTCTACCTTCGGCCCGCGACCTATGCGTCGGTACGTTTCCCAATCAGAGACCCTTAGCACTTTTGACTACCCATCATTGCCAAATTAGTTTCCCGAGAAATGAAGCATTGACTGACGGCGACCTCAGATTCGGAAATGAAAAGCGCACATTATAAAGGAGCATGACTCTCGCTGTAACTCGTTAGTCGCGTACTAC